CTATCAAGTATTTGGTTTGTCCATACAGGTATATTGAGATCTTTTTTATATGAAATAGATTATTTTTGTTTCTCTTAGAAAAAGATGGTATGATGATACAAAAAATAAAAATTTCCATTCTCCTGTTGAATTTTCGAAATTAACTCGGTTTACCGTTCGATCCATTCGTTTTCGTCGTTTTCATCAAGAAGCAATGGTAGCTATTAGACGTCTTTCAACTGTAGGACAAATTTATCATTTGGTAATGCTAAAAGAAAATTTCTTAATGAATGCATTAATTGAAATTATGAAATTATTACCTAGATCTTAGTACATTAATAATTCGTTCTTTATCAGTAGGTCGATCGACAAGGTTATCTTTTGAAGAATCAATTATATTTGATCCAACAAATTTACAAGTAAAATTACAAAGGTATATCTTGAGAAGACGAATGATATTGAACAGTTTTATTTTCTTTTGGAACTTTGTCCTCATATGATATATTTCAAAATGGATTATCTAGTTGATATGGATATTCAACATGTTTTACGATGTATTATCACGAGAATTCATTATGATCGTGACGATCATCTGCGTTTATTATGTTTTCGTATTCCAACAACAGATAATGATGATACGATTAAAAGATTAGAAAAAATTATTATTGCTGAAAAGCTTCTATTGAATTATAGAATAAAACGTGTATTCGATAATGTCTCTACAGAATGGAAGAGTGATTATTTTCATTGAAGTACTGATGCTTATACGTAAATTATTTTTTAATAAATCAAAAAAGAGCTCTTGAAGATATCAAAGTTAATATCAGCATATGATTTTTTCAGTGGTGCTTCTTTTTTTTGTTTGTCCGCATAACTATTCAACGAAGTATCTCTTTTTTTGAGTAAATTTTCATCAAAATTTCAGAATGGAAAGTACGTCACCTACAATACATAAATATTGAGATCTATGTTGTTCGAATGGAAAATTTCAGAAGTCTGTCTTTTTTTTCCACAGATAGAGCACAGGACTTCTTTCATACCTTGGCTATATGTGCACTTTAATACTTTGAAAAGGTGTATCGATATTGAGCAACTAGTAGAGATCAATCAAGATTTGTTTTTCGTATCTGAGGTTCATATTTCATGAGCCAATGATTGCGAGAATGGCACATTGCCTGATGTTTGTTGAAACATCATTTGAGTTCTCTGTATGATACAAATTTTATCCGATTCTGCCGATATGATGCTTCGTTGGTCTAAAGTAAAATCCGAATAATATAAGTAATCTATAGATTTAAGGTGCTAATCTCAGTAGGATGTGGGCGTGGGTGTCAGAGGATGGTAGTGCGACACCCACATGCACAAACCACACCACCCACCCACACCCTTCGTAGAGAACGATATAGGTAAAGTCATAATGTGACCATGCTTACGACTTGCATATGAATCTAATGGAGAATGAAGAGATGGTAAATTTATGTATTCAAAACAGCTGTAGAATCGATACAGACTCAAGTGTACGTGATGAATGACAGATCCTCTGGGAAAAAGCGACCAAGCTGCATAAAACCATGATTATGCTCCCTTCCGTTTTAAGTTTTGCATATAAGAGTAGAAGAAGTACGTCAGCTATTAATGAATTCGAATGCGTGAATATTCACATTTTTAAGTATTTTATGCTAGTTTACCACTCCTATATAAAACAAGTTCATAAATATTGCTTTCTTTATCATAAAAAGTAATAGCCATCGATGGGACGAATATATTTTATTTTACTATTCTTATTTTTTGGAGGTACATTTGCTGCTCGTCAACGGCGACAAGCAAATGGCTGCGGCGCTTCAGGAAGTCTAACTATTAATGGAGCTCTCAGAGGAGTTTGCGAAATGGTCATCATCCCATGTTGCGATCACCACGATATTTGCTATGACACATGCGGCAACACTCAAGCTCAGTGCTTTTAAATTGTGTCTTAATTCAGCATGTGGTTCACTAAGAGGCAATGGATTTCAATGGTGGATCGAGTTCCGCCAGGCTGCTTGCAAACTCGATGGTAGTACTCTATATGCAATCGTTAACTTTGCTGGTTCAAGTGCATTCAAGGAAGCACAAATGGCACACGGTTGCAATTAATGAAATTTCCACTGAATCTTAATAAAATTATATACCAGAAAGTTTTCGATACAAATAATAAGATGATACACGACTCATTTTCCTGCGGCTAGTTCTGCGTTGTTCTTCTTNAAATAGATTATTTTTGTTTCTCTTAGAAAAAGATGGTATGATGATACAAAAAATAAAAATTTCCATTCTCCTGTTGAATTTTCGAAATTAACTCGGTTTACCGTTCGATCCATTCGTTTTCGTCGTTTTTATCAAGAAGCAATGGTAGCTATTAGACGTCTTTCAACTGCAGGACAAATTTATCATTTGGTAATGCTAAAAGAAAATTTCTTAATGGATGCATTAATTGAAATTATAAAATCATTACCCAGATTTTAGTACATTAAAAATTCGTTCTTTATCGGTAGATCGATCGACAAGGTTATCTTTTGAAGAATCAATTATATTTGATCTAACAACATTTACAAGTAAAATTACAAAGGTATATCTTGAGAAGATGAATGATATTGAACAGTTTTATTTTCTTTTGGAACTTTGTCCTCATATGATATATTTCAAAATGGATTATCTAGCTGATATGGATATTCAACATGTTTTACGGTGTATTATCACGAGAATTCATTATGATCGTGACGATCATCTTCATTTATTATGTTTTCGTATTCCAACAACAGATAATGATGATACGATTAAAAGATTAGAAAAAATGATTGTTGCTGAAAAGCTTCTATTGAATTATAGAATAAAACGTGTATTCGATAATATCTCTATAGAATGGAAGAGTGATTATTTTCATTGTAGTACTGATGCTTATACGTAAACTATTTTTTAATAAATCAAAAAGAGCTCTTGAAGATATCAAAGTTAATATCAGCATATGATTTTTTAAGTGGTGCTTCTTTTTTTTTGTTTGTCCGCATAACTATTCAACGAAGTATCTCTTTTTTTGAGTAAATTTTCATCAAAATTTCAGAATGGAAAATACGTCACCTACAATACATAAATGTTGAGATCTATGTTGTTCGAATGGAAAATTTTCAGAAGTCTGTCTTTTTTTTTTACAGATAGAGCACAGGACTTCTTTCATACCTTGACTATGTGTGCACTTTAATACTTTGAAAAGGTGTATCGATATTGAGCAACTAGTGGAGATCAATCAAGATTTGTTTTTCGTATCTGAGGTTCATATTTCATGAGCCAATGATTGCGAGAATGGCACATTGTCTGATGTTTGTTGAAACAACATTTGAATTCTCTGTATGATACAAATTTTATCCGATTCTGCCGATATGATGCTTCGTTGGTCTAAAGTAAAATCCGAATAATATAAGTAATCTATAGATTTAAGGTGCTAATCTTAGTAGGATGTGGGTGTGGGTGTGAGAGTGTGGGTGTCAGAGGATGGTAGTGTGACACCCACATGCACAAACCACACCACCCACCCACACCCTTCGTAGAGAACGATATAGGTAAAGTAATAATGTGACCATGCTTACGATTTGCATATGAATCTAATGGAGAATGAGGAGATGGTAAATTTATGTATTCAAAACAGCTGTAGAATCGATACAGACTCAAGTGTACGTGATGAATGAAAGATCCTCGGGGAAAAGAGCGACCAAGCTGCATAAAACCATGATTATGCTCCCTTCCGTTTTAAGTTTTGCATATAAGAGTAGAAGAAGTACGATAGCATCAGCTACTAATGAATTCTAATGCTTGAATATTCACATTTTTAAGTATTTTATGCTAGTTTACCACTCCTATATAAAACAAGTCCATAAATATTGCTTTCTTTATCATAAAAAGTAATAGCCATCGATGGGACGAATATATTTTATTCTACTATTCTTATTTTTTGGAGATGCATTTGCTGATCGTCAACGGCGACAAGCAAATGGTTGCGGCACTTCAGGAAGTCTAACTATTAATGGAGCTTTCAGAGGAGTTGGCGAAATGGTCATCATCCCATGTTGCGATCACCACGATATTTGCTATGACACATGCGGCAACACACAAGCTCAGTGCTTTTAAATCGTGTCTTAATTCAGCATGTGGTTCACTAAGAGGCAATGGATTTCAATGGTGGATCGAGTTCCACCAGGCTGCTTGCAAACTCGATGGTAGTACTCTATATGCAATCGTTAACTTTGCTGGTTCAAGTGCATTCAAGGAAGCACAAATGGCACACGGTTGCAATTAATGAAATTTCCACTGAATCTTAATAAAATTATATACCAGAAAGTTTTCGATATAAATAATAAGATGATACACGACTCATTTTCCTGCGGCTAGTTCTGCGTTGTTCTTCTTCTTCAGTAGGATCATACAGAATGGATATGAGCCAAGATATGAGCATATGTTACTTATATGATTCTATAGAAGCCTGATGGTATGAGGGGTGTGGAATGTGGATCGAAGATACATCGACAACTTCACCCACACCCTTTTTTGTTTGTATAATTCTGGGTTCACCAGCAAGTGTTTTGAAATCAATTGTGCTTGTTGTTTTATATAAATGTTGCCATCGCCTGACTGTACGATCACTAACCACCTTTCATAATTGTTTAACAATTTGACGTGATGACATTCCGTCATCAGTCATTCGCACTACCACTTTTCGAAGGTCTTCCGATTTCATCTTTAAAGACAATCTAAAAAGCACTTATACAGTTGATATTCTGTAATTGTATAACTCTTCAAGAGTCCAAATATATAGCATAAGAATAAGTGGAAAAAGTGGATAAGTAGTGTATACTTGGATTAGTGCAAAAGTGGGCCATTTATCATGCGCCACCCGTTGTTTCCACGATTCTTCTTATTCACCGAAAAATATATATCAACGCTTTCTATAGAATTAATTTATTTTGAACTTGTTTTCTCTTACGAAAGACAGAATAAACGCAGGTTTTAATTGAATAGAATAATTAAATGAATCCTAAAACATTGATTATCCAAAACTCCAAAAAATGATGAAATTTTGCAACAAATTTAAATGAAATTGTTTTCAAAAGAATAATTACCATCATCAAACATTTTTTTTAAATTATGTAATTTACTTTATCTAATCCAGATTTTTCTGGATAGGTAGATGCATTTATTTATACAGCAATAATTAAAATTCTAGACATACATATTATTGCATTGATGCAAGCATTTGTAAATAAATTTAGGGTGAAACGGTTCTTGTATAAATTCTGTTTTCTTTTATAACTAATTAGTGTGATCACATGTGGCTCAGTGATATATGCATTTGCCTTCTAATGGTCATTGTACTCGTTCTAATTCATAAGTATCATTTTAAAAATAGTAAGACTTACACTTTGGATTGGTCTATGGCTAAGTAAAGACCATCATCAGTTAATGTCGATGGCAATTCATATCAAAGTTGAGACAGATTGTATGGTTACGATTCAGCTTAAATTTAAAACAAACAGATACCGTGGCCTGATGGTCTAGTGGTATGATTCTCGCTTTGGGTGCGAGAGGTTCCGGGTTCAATCCCCGGTCAGGCCCGTTTCTTTTTTTTTTGATTGATGTTCAAGGGAGCATATATATACATAGTCATAGTCAGTTATTGAAGTATCATTTGCTGTATGCAATATTTTGAAACGGTTTTTACATCGTATCTCATTCTTTTTTTTTCATTAGTTCTTTGATTTTATTCTAGAAAATGGCTGGAAAAAAATAAACATCGATGCGAGAAATATGTATGAAATAATGAAAAAAATAAAAATAAAGAATGATGAGCATTACAATTATCTTGTTATTGTTGTTTTTTCGTTGAGGCGCATTTTATTGTTGTTGAATAACAAAAGTATTGACTATTTCCAGAATAAATACCGCTAACAAGCAGTTTGGGGCCTATAACAATGTCAATATTCTTTGATTTTCTAACAAGTGAAACGATCGGGGCCT